ATCTAGTGCGTGGATAATTTTGACTTTTGGGCCCCCAATATCGAGTGAGACGAGTGTTGCCCCAAAAGCCAGCTCAAAGGAAAGAGGATTGTCCATGTCTTATAAGGAGCCCACCCATCTCATAAACCATCGAATGTGATATTTTGTCATTCTTTAACAATCCACCTCACGCCTAGTGATTAGCATCTAGTGCATGGACAATTTTGATTTTTGGGGGTCCCAACATTGAATGAGACAGGTCCTGCTTTAATACCACGTAGAAATTAAGTCGTAGGCCTTATTTACATTTCAAAAATTAATTCAAAGAGAGGAGGATTGACCAAGCCTTATTAGAAGTCCGCCCATCTCATTAATCAATGATCTGAAACTTTTGTTATTCTTTTTAACAATGTCTTCATATATAAACAATAATTAGGTTTGTACTTCTTCAATCCCTTGGTAATGATCATGTGACTGTTTTTCACTCCCTCTTATCATAAAAAAGTACCGGTCCTAATGACTAAAAAGTGCTATATTTACCCTCTTATTCTATAAATATAAAAATTATAATGTTGCAATCATTGATTTTCTTTAAGTGTCTCATTCATAGACAAAACCAACACACCTAGGACATGTGTCAAGTGTTGAAAGATTTGAAAATATATATAATACTAATTAATTATGAAAATAAAATCAATTAGGAGTAGTACTAATGATTTGACCGATTACTGATCATTAGCGTGTCTGCCCACTCTACTTATATTTTGCTGCCCGACCTCTGTGTGTGTTTGATTTATGGGTGACGCTCTTAATAATATTTTTTTATATATTTAATTTTGAAATTAATTAATTTTAATTAAAAATAAATTAATCTTATCATTATACTATAACTTAGATTGATATTCACTCTAGCTCGTGTGAACTGTGAAACAAAATGAATGACAAAAAGGTCCACGGATCATTAGTTAATTAAACGCTAAATAATGATCTACTTAATCATACCTTTTTGTATCAATAAGTAATATTTTATAACAATATTTGACGACTATAACAATCAAAATTTCCTTTAGAACTAACCATTTTCATATTATGTTTCTTTTAAATAAATTTTTTTGAAAAATATTTCAAATTTATAAAAATTTCATTTTGACTCCGCCCCTACCTGCCACCCCACCCAGGTCACCCCGTCAAAAAGAAAATTATTTTTTTTATGAAAATTATTCAAATTTTTAAAAGTTGATTTTTTAGGTTATCGATTAAAAATTATTTTCTACTCACCAATTAAACATGAGAAAAATAAGTTACAAATCCACTTATTTTTCAAGAAAATATTTTTTTGTTTATAAAAAAACACTCTAAGTGTTGTTCTTGAATGATTTATTTGCAATTGGATGTCCAGTTTTACTTTTAAATTTGCTAGGTACATTATTCATGTTATAGTAATAATTTAAAGATGACCATTTCTATGGAGCTCAATAGATAATTGTCAAAGTACAAGAAATAAATAAGAACATACATATCTGTCTTTTATCATGCAACATGGAATCTTTTAGTTGAAAAAGAAAAAACATACGTATAAATATAATATAAAGGGCGTTTTCTTATATAAAACTTTGTGACAGTACTGAAAACATATTCAATTGTTAATAATTGTGGATGATCATATGTTAAAAAATATATGGTGGAAACATATAGAAGTCTCCATTGACTCTTGAGACAGCCAAGATGTGGACTTGCAACTTATCAACGGTTGGCAAACTAAGGTGGAAAATTGTACTCAACATTTTATTTTAATTGACCGCGATATAAAAATAGATATTTTATTTTACTAAATCATATTGATAAATTTAAAGATTTATTTTTTATATTAGTCGTTTGGTGTGAAATATAAAGTATAATAATCGCATGATTATTATACCCTACTTCTGATTGAACTTTGGAGATATTAGGTAGTCATTGGATTTTTTATATAATAGTAATGAAAAAAGTTATCTCATATACATGATGAATAATTTATCCTGACATACTTAATTCTTAAATAACTCGTTTCCAATCAAATGACTCTCTAAGCTTTAAATATTAAATAACTACATAAAATAATAATAGTCAAATTATAAAATAATAAAATTCATCTCTAATAATAAATATGTCAAATCAATTGGACGAAATAATAGGAAAGTAGGGTGATTATAAATTTAACTAGATTTATTTTTAATAAAAAAATGTTGCTTGTTGTAATTGTATGAATTGCAGTGAGAATAAGACACTTCATTGAAGAAAGTCTTATACTCACCAACTTTTTTCAAGTAGATAAAAAAGAGTTAAAAGATAGTGACCTCACATGTCGACTATTAATTGGCTTTTGTGAAAGCTCCTCACTATGTTTTAATAGATTCCTTTTCAACACTTCGACTTCGTCATCAATGATTATAGACACTACATTTTGTATTTTAAGATTTAAATTAGTCTATTTTTTATTGAAATTCTTTAAATATATTTTAAATTATAAATTATTTATACTCATAATATATTTTACGTAATTTATAAATATATAAATTTTACTTTCAAAAAAATGAGCTTTCATGCACAAATTCTCAGTCAAACTTAAGAACTGTTTTACTTTCTAAAAATAAAATCAATCACATAGATTGGGACAGAGTGAGCATCTAGTTTCACTATATTAAAAATATTTTTAGTGGTTATTAATTAAAAATAACAACTTAAAAACATTTTTAGTGGTAATGTTCATAAAATCTATAATGTTACTGGATTCAATGAAAACTAACTGATGTCGATAAAAGTTTTAGTACTTTTAATTAATATGCATATTTATTGTCACTTAAAACTATTTTTGTTATAATATTTGCAAATTGTAGATACTTTTTAAAATTTTGGATTTATAATATTTTGAAGTGTGATATAATCAAATTATGAATTTGTATATTGCTCTATAAGAATGTAAAAATAAAAATGAACGGAGGAAAGTAATTAGTTTTGATAGACTATGCCAAGTCAATTCCATATAATATATTGTGCTAATAATCGCTATAACCTCTCTAGACAAACGCTTTGACTCAACCCACTCCAATGTAGTTTTTACGTAGATATTAAATTTTACAACGTTGAACTTGAAATAAAACAAAATTGACATTAATCGATAACAACTTGTAATTAATTACTTTGGCAAGAACTTGTTTCATTTCTGCAATAATGGTCAAAAGTAAGAAATATTGAACTTTTGCGTCTCTTTTGATATTTTTAAATCCCCACTAAGGAAACATATGACAAAAATAAAATAAAATAGCAAATATATAGTTTCCAATGAACTTGATATTAAAAGATAGATATATAGGCAATTCATCATCACATAGATAAATGGTAGTCATCCTTCTTGTAGACCATAACTAGGTTTAGAATTGTCCTATTCATATTGCATATTATATATAATATCAAATGAAAAATGAAACTTAGAAACTGATAAATATTGCAGTTAAATAATTAGTGATATATTATCAAAAATTCTGTTAGCTATCGACATTTTTTTTTACTCCGCCCTATGAATTTCCTTAAATTCTGATTAAAATTCATATCCTCAAAGTAAAGTAAAAGGTGAATGATATTTATCATTTGAACAATTTTTTTTTATCAATCGACAAATTAGCAATGAAACTAGAATCTAATTTCATTTTCTTAGATCGAGATTGTCCCATCTATTCATAATAACTAGTAAATCCATCTCCTAATACATCAGCAAAGTTAAATACTAGGGCAATTTTAACACGAAGACTAACTTATTATGAATATACATTTTGGAATAATAACGCTTTCATTAAGTAAATAATCTCAAATTAAATGAAACAGAATAAAATATTTCAGAATTAAGTGTGTGATAAAATTTATAATATGATATAAATTTACTCTTGAACTAAAGACAATTATGAAATATTCTTAGTCCGAAACCAAAAGATCCCTTAAAGTATAGCTGGGTTTGTGTGCACAAATAGGTAAAAGGCGTTTTTAACTAAGATTTTGTGTCAGATGATGACATGAGTTGCGTGTATTTAAATTTTTCTATCTGGAAGGTAGGTGGGTCTACATCCAGATGTGGTGTTTTATAAGCCCTGAGCTTGATTATATAATGCCTGGAAAAATCGACATTGAGATTCGTGTCAAATATTTACACTACTCAAAATTAAACCTGCCTTTTTACTCCATTCACTGCTCTCGTATGTCATATGTGTGGACCCCTAAGGGCTATTTCATATAACCAAATAAACCTTTTTCTTTTACTTTTTAACTTTTGCTCTTCAGTCTTTTAGTACCTTTATCTCTCGGCTAGAAATAAAATCTACATACATTATTTTTGTTGAATTTTGATCTTCACTTATTTTATGAATAAAATTTATAAAGTAAAAAGTTAATACTAATTAAACATCAAATTTTGTTTATGGAGTAAGTGAAGTCAAAAGTTCAAGATCACTCGTAGATTACCTATTGTTGAAGTGTTTCGTTTCTAGCCCATATGATTCGATTTTGTCCTTACGAAGTAATGAAAAAAAGTTAGATCATTTAAGTCTAAAGGTAATTTTGACCTTTGAAACGTCACGGTTGAGAAGAGTCAACCATTTATGTACTATTAGAAATAATTTACATATATACCTTGTTATATCGATTCAAATATACCCCTCCAACTATACTTTGACAAAAATTTGTCCATAATTTCGATAGAGAAACATGTGTTAAGCACGACATCAAATAACTCACTCGCACTATTAAATTCTCGATTACTTTAGAAACTCACACCAAAATAAGGTAGAATAGTTTGAGTGTGAGCGCTTAAGAATAGCTGAAGAATAAACCCAACAAAAGCACTGTGACACAATGAAGTGTAGTGAATTAATGATATTAACTTGATGTTCACTATTCTGGGTTCAATGGAGATGTCATAATTCTCTTCCTATATATATTGTAATACATGATTATGTGGCTCACTAGACAATGTAAGTTTTTGAAAGGCGAAATACATATATAATCGCTTTGCTTTTAACTCTTATCAATTATCAAGTAGACGGTTTAACTGAACTAATAGCCAGAGATCTAAACACCTCTACTTGAGAGTTGGTTGCTAGTTTAAGGGCTATCTATATGTTTCGTTTTCTTGAAACACAGCTGAAGGAATACAAGAATGAGTCCAACTAGAAATAATTAGAACGGTATCTGGTTGACATGATCAAGATGAATTGCCCTTGTGCGGTAAACAAAGCTCATACTTATGCTAGGAATTGTCACAAGCTAATTGAGAAATGAAAGAAGTCTACTCAAAGCCTTGATACTTGTCTGATCAATCACTTACAGCTTTGCAGAACCATTTGGCCATCAGTTCGGAACAAAATGGTACAACTCCCATTTTACTGCCTGCTTTAGTCACACATTTTCAAACTACTCCAATGTATTCATAAAAAATTCTTGAGTAGCTTCATGTCCTCATTGTTGAGTACTTTATCTTTGCTATTAAGAAAACGAAGGATAAACATCATTATATATGCATGTGTAAAAAAATGCAGATCCTAAGCCAAGTACTAATGGGAAGGTCCGAATACTCACTTTGTAGAACATTGTTCAAGGCTAATTGCATAGGGACAAGTAGACAACTTCTCTCATTAGTAATGACATACCAGGATCTAGGGAAAGGCTTTTTTCACACCCCACGACCCTTTGCATCAAATTAAACCACAAGCTCCCCGAAACTGATAACATCTGAGATTATGCAGGAAGGAAAGCCAAAAAATCCAGGGAATTGACGAATAACATGATATTAAAAGAAGAAACAAGGATTAGACATTTGAAAGTATCTGAAAAGGAATGATGTTGTTTTAGTTTACTGGAATCCCCTTAGACTCAGGGAGAAACTAATATAACAAGTATGTATTACATCATTTACAAACTTCTAGCGAGGAAGAAGCAAAAAGAGAAACGATGCAACTCATGAAAAAAAAAATACTCAACTGCTAGGAACTTATATTACTTCTGGTTAAATCCTGTGAAGGAAATTAAAATCTATGTAACATATTGACAAGTTTATTCCTCGTCTCGTCTTCCATTAAGAACTAGAGAATTTGATTCAAGGGTGTGGCATGAGGTAAGTTGAGAAACATGAAGTCTCTAGTTCAAATCCCAGCAGAACCAAAAACACTAGAGATTTATTTCCATCTGTCCTACCCTTGGTAAACAATGACATGGTAACTTGTTGTGGAAGGAGGCGACAGCTATCCCGGAGAATTAGTCGAGGTCTGTGCAAGCTGCCCTGAACACCACGATCATATAAAAACAAGATATATTGACTTCTATGAGTGTCGAAAATATTGTTGGTCACTCATATCCATGTTATGAATTGAATTGTCATCATATTCTTCTTGCAGTTAATACTCCAGAGATCTTCATGCACAAGTGGATAGTAATAGGACCTAGTTTGTGTTTGATACGAAGGAAATATTCCTTAGAGAATATTTTTTTTCAAAAAATAAGTAAATTTCTAACAAATTAGTGGTATGTAAATAAAAACATATTGTCCCAAAAACATTTATATATAATTTAGGAAACACTATGGGGGTGAAATGATGCAGGGAGTTGGAGTTAGGGGGTGGAAGGAGACAATGAGCTTGGAAGGCCACCTATTGGACTTGTTTTCTACTTCTATTGGGAAAACCATTTTCCTCATTTTTAAGGAACTTGTATTCCTACATTTGACTGATCAAATGTAGAATAATTGAAAAATATTTTCCTCTATACCAAAAGACGCTCATAATGGCACCACACTTTGAGAAATCCAACTCAAAGCTTCATATATAACCCAAAACACTGAGAGGACCAAATGAGTAACAATTTTAGATTAGCAAATCTGTAAGGCAGAAATGCATCAGATGCTTAACATTAAAGCAAATAGGGAGAACAAAGGTCCAAATTTCAAATGACTTATTCACTGTATATCCAAATATGCAAAACATACATGTTTACCTGTTGCATTCTGATCATGAATGCATCCATCTTCACTTGAGTTCTTTTGCCAACTTGTATATCCATGCGGGCAAGCTCCTCTTCTAGTTTCCTTAGTAACTCAGAAGTCCCTTGTTCTTCTTTCTTTGCAGCTCAGCAGCCACTTGCTAACGTTCTTCCTGCAATATTCTTTCCATTTCTGCTTGCATCTCTTGGCACATACTTCCCATTGTAGAAGCCATACTGGCCTCTAAGTCCACTTGTTGCACGCAAATCTTTTCTGGAGGCCTCTTTCCATACCCCTTTCCACGAACATAGTCCATTCACGGAGTTTAGTGGTTAAAATCTCATCTGCAACTGATTGAACATTTTCTTCATATTGCTGTTGAGCCACAATTTCCTGGAGCTGGCCCTTCAAACAGTTAATATTATAAAATAGGAAGCATATACTAATATAATAGAACAATTAATCAGAAAGTTATATGAATTTTGTGTTGCCTTTGTTCCATTATCAGGATCTCTTACAATAGATGAAAATATTTATATTATAAACTCATAATAATTATATAGCTGTTTAGGTAAATGTATTTGTATCAATGATTACTTCACTACTGCAAATGACTTTGAGCCACGAAAGTGCTTAGTTATTTGTTTTTCCCCGTTAGTTTGTTCCACTCATTCACAACCAGCAATTAGATAAATACATTAAGGACCAACATTTAGATAGTAGTTTATCATGCATATCTATTATCAAGTTACCTTGAATGCGGGACTTATACAAAGTCCTACAAGAAACACCCAGTCATCAGGTGTAACATCATACAGTCTATGGAAGGTCTCTCGTTATCAGTGGCATAATAGGACTATAGGAGTAGTTAGCATGCAATCGAGCGTTCCATGCTCTAAAAAGCCTTTGCATAGTGCCAAACTGTCGATCACAAGAGCTTGCAACACATGTTCTCGCATACCACTAGCTTCAAGTTTATCCTGATAAAATATGTAAACCTAGTTATAGTAAATAACACATGCAACAAGAAGTCAATTTGACATTGAAAGTAAATTGTTACCTTAACCTTCAACTACATAGCTTCTCCCTGTTTTTGTAATAATTACCTGCCAATTATCATCTCTGAACATATAGTGTGCCGCATAATCAAGCCACAATAGTTAACAATATCTCTAGACCAGGAATGACAATGGAAAATTTTACTACTATGTTTAGTTTTCATATCCTCATGTAAAAATTTGTATCTCCCCCACTGCCTTTCTTAGATTTGTTGCAAACTGTGAAGCAAAAGATCCACATTAACCCTTGTTAATTAACTGTTGTCACTACTATTATCACTAAACAGGACCACTTCAAGCATTTCACGTACCGTTCCTTTTTACCTTTTGAATCAACTATCTTGATGCCAAAAAAGCTGATGATAAGATATAATTCTAAATGACAGCAACAAAATGGAAGATTTGTAATCTTTGTTTCAGTTTTATTTCAAAACTCACTACTTTTCTGATGCTAGTTTCCAAGGAAGTAACTGCTCAGTTGGTGAACTGGGCAAAAAAATTCTCACATGATATTGCTCCAAGAAATGCCTACTGAAATCATAATTCAATTTCAACTTTAACCAGTAGTAAGCCAAACAGTAACAGATTTAGGATCCTTCAATCTATTAGCCTCAGGAATTACTAATTCTACTCTAACAAGTCATTCTAAGATATTAAACAGTGAGAAAAAGTTTCAGTACATCTTCTTCTGTGGGTTTATGTGGTGGCTTCAGTTTTTGACTTTTCAAGCCATAAGATGGCATTGAACCCGAATTCCATTCCCGGAGCAAAGGATGACATGAGTTCATCCGCAGTTTGTGTGATGCTAATTTTGTTATCCTTCACTGCCAAATTCTCCTTCTTCACATATTCAGCAAGAGTTGAGTTAATAATTTCTCGTATAACAGAATTGGTAACTCGTTCTTCGCCAAGTATCTGAGGTAGAAATTCCCTAGGAACCTGGGATGTTTTTCCTCCCTTTTCCCTGCGGAAGCCTGGAATCGGTTGCTCTGATTTTGCTAATTTTGTCAAAACACTATCGAATACCATTTTTGTGTACTCCCCGTTCACATCTACTCTGACTTGTATCTTCTCAGCTTCTTCGGATTCAACAACTATCTTTGCATTTTTAAGGCATTCATCAGCTGAATCTGCCTCTAGCCCGGAACTAGCAGCCGATACTGGCTTCACCAGAGATCTTAGGCGTCCTTGCAAGGATATACAGTGCTTCAATAACCCCTTCTTTGTAACCGCTGTTGCTGGGTAAATTGCCACATTCTTGGGGATAGTGCTGACGATACAATAGCAAGAGTCGATAAGCAGCCGGCGGGACGGCGACGCCATTGCAGTGGTCATCGTCATTGTCATAGTTCCCTCAGAAACTAAGAGGGCTTTTTTAACCTCTACACTAATTTGCGAGTGTGAGAATTGAGAAGAAGACTCGACGCGAGAAATTCAAAGATAAGATAATGAAGAGCATTTGATTTTGCACGGGACGGCAGTAGCGCGGGTCATTCACACGAATACCCCTAAATTAGGGTGATGTTAAATTTTGCCCCTTAATTTTTATTTTCTTTTGGATCGAAAAATTAAAAACTCGCAAATCACTAGGAGAGTGATAAATTATCAACTCATTAAGAATTATCACTTGCGAATTGTTACTACATAGGAGAGGTAATTTGGTGTGACAAGTTTGATTCAGAAGACAGCAAAATATTTTAAAATTGAGATCTCCAATATAAAAATCTCAAGCTAAACTTATGGAGTCACCTCGAAAAGTACTAAATGTATAATTATATAAAATACATATATTATATGTTATTATGAATGCTAAAGCTAAATCCCCCTTTTAAAATTATAGATTTGAGGTCTTTTTTTACCTTCACGTGATTCATGTTTAAGGTCCTTCATCGAGATCTAAATGCAAGCAATGTTCTCTTTGTTGGTATAAATTCAATAATTTCAGATTATTAGCAATGTTCATGGCTTCATGCAAGTATAGTGTAAGATGCTTTAATCGAAAAAAAGGTGCAATAGAGGTTAGTTGATATGCTGATCAATAACTTTTAGATAATTGTTAATTCATTAGCGAATTAATTGATATCTTATTAGTTTGCTAGTGGATTGGTATAATTAAAAGTTAGAGTATAAGATAAGTCAAATTATTAAGCGAAATAATTAGCTCGATAAGTAGCCCCTCCTCAAAATATGTTCTTCAATTTTTATCTTTCAACATTTTAGTACTCTCTTATTCCATTTATTTTTGTTTGACTTGATACATTCTTTACAAAATAATAAATAGAATGAACAAAGTTGTTATGTAAAAAAATAATAATTTAAAATATAATAATTTGAGATAATTATAACTGAAGTTGGCTTAATAGTTAATGGGTTCTTTTAAGATTAATAAACATTTGAAATATGTTTTAAATTTTAAAAGAATTAAGAGATTAGATTTTAGCCCCAAAATTAACTTCTTTTATTATAAAAATAAAGCTCAAAATAATATAATATAATATAAAGAGAAGAAGACTAGATATGGAGACGAATAATAAGACTTTTTTTTAAATATAATTGTGTCATGTTAGTGAAAAAACTTACAATATAATAAAATTGCAAGATTACAATTGAAAATAAAATGAAGAAAGTAATCTCTTCAGGCTGAGGCGCGGATATCTCGCTCTCTTTAAGGAGATTCAAGCCCACTGCAGCAAATGTTTTCACCGGTCCAGCAGTAGTCCTCTTTGACTTGTTCCCTCCAGGATACAACAGCCTTTACAAAGTATAACTCAACAACTCTGGACAAGAGTTGAGTCCAAAGTTCCACAAAAAAAAACACCTCCCTTCAACTAATAAGAACTCTCTTTAGACTAACTTTTTCACTCTTTGTTTTCTCTTATGAATTGTATGTGTATCTAAAATCAAATGAAGACTACCATTATTAATACTACAAGAAGTCTTCCTAGCAATGAATAGGAAGATAATGGAGGTAGTAAATAGTGAAGATAATTGTCTTAGGAGTTACATAGGTTACAATAGGAGTTACATAGGTTACATAAGTTACAATGGGAGTTACATATGTTACAAAGGGAGTTACATAGGTTATAAAGGGAGTAATGGAGGAATTAAGAATGAAATACATTGATGGATAACCAATGCTAATGGATGACGTAGAAGTCATCCATTCTTATAACTCCAAAATAAAGCAATTTAATATGTTAAATATTAATATTAAAATGCTAATAACCTAACATGTCTTACAATGATAAATAACATCTCTATTTATAGATAAAAAAATCAATCTAAAAGTCACTATATTTATGTCAAATTAGTAAATACATTGTTTGTTATCACAAAAAGGTTCATATCATCTTGGAAATACACGTTCATTAGAGTAAGTTTATAATAAACTTAATGGAGATGAAATATTTTATTTTGTGCCTCGCTGTATATGTGGGGCCATGTTGTACTTCTTCATTTTCTCACATTTTCTCTTTTTGATCTTTTATTTTTGTAATTTGTTTTTTATTTTTTTGCTTGTAATTCTTGTTGTAATTTTATTTTGATAAAGAAGCTTTGAAACTCACCCTCAAGATATATATATATATATATATATATATAAATATAATATTTGAGGGGAAATTAAAGCAATATGTTGGAAAAATTTTAATTTAATTTTTTTTATGAATTCAAAGAAATTGAACATGGTGAAATTAAAAAAATAAATTGAACTTACATCAATAAAAAAAAAAAAATTCACTCAATTATTTTAATTATTTAAATTCCCTCAATTATTTCCTTCTAGCTTTTTTTTATGCACTGTTTGACTTTCAAGTTTCAATACAATATTTAGTTTATGGAATTGAATTTAACGTGAATCCCACAATTTCTCTTTCAATTCCCACTCAAACATTACATTCTCTTTCCTTTTGGTTTCATTCTTCAGCCTTAACTGACAGCTTGGACCCCCCACAATTCACGTATCGAAGTTTTGTTGATTGTACCTCGCTCAAAATAAATTTTTTAGTAAATTGTCTTCTCCTATCCCGCTGTTGAAAGCATTGTTCTAGAAGGTTCGTCGTCCTCTCTATTTACTGTTTTCTCGCTCTGTTTACATGCGTTTTGGCAAATATAGTGGATCCCGGGCCGTATTAACGAGAAGGATTGTAGTAGATGGATGACTAGGTTAAAGATGATTAAATTATGACTGAAATGATGAATAGATATAAGGAATAATTCAGCTGTGTTTGTGTAGGATTGAGCCCTAGGTTCGGCTTTCGTAATAAGAGAGGGATGGTTCAATGTAGCAGATTTGGTCATTTTTCGTTGCGAATTCTGTAATTTCTGGGATAATGAAGTATGGATGGTGATCATATACTTACCTAAGTGATGTGTTCATGTTTTTGTCAATACATTATACATTGATGCATGAAATATGTAATCTGCATACAGCTAATCAATGGTTGATTCGTATGCTCTGTAAATATTTTCAAGTATTGAATTTGTGAACAAACTAGAGTGCTGTTGTGCTTTCTACTGAAATTATATGACTTTTCTTCTTATGCTTAAAGCTAATGCTCTTTCATGTTCTTGACATTGAAAGTAAATAAAATGTGCAATACAGAAGTCAATTCGACATTGAAAGTAAATATTGCCTTCCAATTACAAATTTGTATCTGGAATGACTATGGGAATTTTACTTCTGGTCTTAGTGTTCATGTCTACATGTAAAAATTTGTATCTCCCTTTGCCTTACTTAAATTTGTGGCAAACTGTGAAGCAAAAGATCCATATGACCCTTGTTAATTAACTGTTGTCGCTACTATTATCACTAAATAGAATCACTTTTAAGCATTTGAAATATCCTTCCTTTGCACCACTTTAATCAACTATCTTGATGCCAAAAAAGCAATGATAAGATATATCTTCAATGTAAGCAAAAAAAAATAAAAATGAAAATATATGGCCACAAAAGTTTCTTTACCTGATATTGCTCCAAGAAACACCAACTGAATAATAATTCAATTTCAGTTGAGAACTGAAATCATAATTCAGTTTCAATTTTAACCAGTAGTAAGCCAAAGAGTAACAGATTTTAGGATCCTTCAACCTATTGGCCTCAGGAACTACTGATTCTATTCTAACAAGTCATTGTAAGAGATTCAACAGTGAGAGAGAAAAAAATTTCACATCTTCTTGTTTATGTGGAGGCTTCAGTTTTTGATTTTTCAAGCTCTAAGGTGGCATTGAATCTGAATTCTGTTCCCGGAACAAATGATGACTTGAGTTCATCGGCAGTTTGTGTGGTGCTAATCTTGTTATCCTTTACTGCCAAATTCTCCTTCTTCACATAATCAGCAAGAGTTGAGGTAACAATTTCTCGTATTACAAAATTGGTAACTCGGTCTTCACCAAGTATCTGCAGTAGAAAGTCCTTGGGAACCTTGGATGTTTTCCCTCCTTTTTCCCTGCGGAAACCTGGAACAGGGGGCGCTGATTTTGCTAAATTTGTCAATACTTTTTCGAAAACCGTTTTTGTGTCCTCTTCGCTCACATCTACTCTCACTTGTATCTTCTCATCGTCTTCGGACTCAACAGCTATCTTTGCATTTTTAACGCGTATCAGAGATTCATCGTCACCCAAATCTGCCTCAAAACCTGAACTAGCAGCCGATACTGGTTTTACCAGAGATCTTAGGCATCTTTGCGAGGATATACAGTGCTTCAATAACCCCTGATTTGTAACTGCTGCTGCTGGGTAAATTGCCACATTCTTGGGGATAGTGCAGATGGTGCTATGTCGAGAGTTGATAAGCAGCCGCCGCGACGGCGATGCCATTGCAGTGGTCATCGTCATTGCCATGTCGCCGTCGGAAACAATGAGAGCCTTTAACTTCTACGGCAGTAATTTTCTTGCGAATGCGAGAAGGAGACTAGACTCTAGATATTCAAAGATAAGATAATGTAGGGCATTTGATTTTGGACCGGGCGGAAGTGGCGTGGGTCATTGGCACGAATGCCTATTTTTGGGTGGTTTTTTAATTTTTGGTAAGAAAAATATCCTTAATATTAAAAAAGAAAAATGGAAATAGCAAGACAGAATTTTGTATTCTAATATTACACAAAAGACCTAACTTGTCCAATTTTTTTTAGAACTTGTATTGAATGAATTATATACTATGTGATTGATGTAAGAAAATTTAATTATTATAAAATTGATTCCAGGCAAGAAATAGAAGTTAAATTTATTTCACAAAATAGAGATCAATAAGAAATAGGTCAATTCGTACAGAAACTTTAAGTTACCTGACCCGTTTTTATAAAGATCAAACAAAGGAAGCCCATAGTTTTTAGCTGTCACCAAATGCTAGTACAATTAGCTAGTTTCAGAATGACCAATCATATACTTCTATCTATATTCTCTTGGAGATAACTATGCTTCTACGATTATACACTAGATAGGTTAACAATAAAAATACTTTCTCCTGAAAATTTGAGCTATAAATCTGTGCCTCAATTCTCCAATACCTTAACCGAAAAATAAATTTGTATCAGCTATAACAATAGATGAATCTATAAGACTTGTGAGGATTTAGCATCTACTAGATTTATCCGTTGTTACATCTTTGCACCTCTGGAAATGAGGATGTTTCCATATGGAAGCTCCTGTTCGACTTTAACAAAGTCTCGAGTGGCCAGAACTGCACGTAGAATGGAGCAAACATTAATTCTCTCTAATGAGAAGCTGGAAACTATGAAGTTTCTCTGAGCTGCAATGCAAGAGGAAAAGATATGAAAGAAGTTTGCATACCACAAGTCTGATAAAAAAGACATGCTGCTTGTTTCTTTGTCATTCCAAGAGTTAGTTCATTCAAACATTCTGCTTCTGCCGATCCGGGAGTGTCAAAATGACTCTTTAGCTGTCTGTAGACATCAGTTTATCAGGTGAAAAATCAATTAATCAGATGATATACAGTGAAGCTGGAGAAGTTTTAGGAACAAATGGAAAAGGATTTACATCCTGATAGAGTCAGTCATCATGTCAAGAGGTTGAGTAATGAATGGATGTTGGGTTTGTGTTGGTCCGGTTTCCATCAATATCTCTGCCAAAATAGTGAAGGGAGGTTCATAACAAACTAAACCACATTAAAGAAAATGACCAGAACTAAAATGGGAAGGTTACTGACTATTCACGAACCGTTGTCTTGTGTAAAACCATTTTCAGATAGTTCAGATAATCTAGTCAACTTGAAATTTAGAGTGGGGTCGTGCCATGGGTTCTCTTCTGCTACTGGTTGAAGACCATTGCCACTGTGCTTCAATGAAGAATGGGGTCTTTTCTTGTTGGACCTGAAGAGTTAACAATTTTGATCAATGTAACCAGATGCTGCTATATGGTGAGACCTTCATAATTTTAAAAAGAAGCAAAGTTTTAAAGTTCCCTATGGTGCTGAAATCCATGATATTCATTATTTCCTTCTGTCATTGTCTGTATGATTCAAGTGGTTCATCTTTAGACAAATCCCTCAACATATATCTACTAGTAGTACTAACCGACTTGAATCGGTTACAGAATTCTGTGATAGTAAACCATGACCAGATCCTGAGCTTGGAATGGATCTAGGCTCATCACCTATAGATTCACAAAAATGTTAGTTATACCACCATATCAGATTGCCGAACAAATCATGGAGATTGGGAAATTCATAAAAAAATCGATATACCAGAGCCAGGTGTGGCCATGTGATCAGTCTCTTTCACTCCATTAGTCTCTGTTGGATGCAGTCCCATATTTGTAAGATTGGTTCTGAGGTCCTCCATGAGAATTTCAGGTGGAATCTTGTTATTGTTGAGATTTGCCCTTTGTTTTTCTATAGAGATTCCTACTGCTGGGGAGCCTACACCGCCTTGGAAATATTCGAAAGGCGGTTCCAAATTACCCATCCTTTCACCTGGAGATGTATAGGATGGTTCAGGAGGAAAGGGTGGAGAGGTTTTTCCTGCAAGTCAAATGTAATTACCACCTGTTTATAGTTTTGGCAACTAAGAGTCTAATATCATGGATGAAAAACCAGACCGGAAGGTGAATCATGCGGAGGTTGGGTATTCCTCATCCATAATTTTAGGAGTGGTGCTGGATAGTGAACTTCCTTATTTCCATTTGTGAACAATCCTTCTAGTAGTGCAATAGGAGGCATTTCCATCATTCTGGCTATCTTCATAGAAGGTAAGACACTCAAAGTCTGCACAGAATAGAAACTTAAGGTTACTAATAAATGATGCTGCATGTTAGTTTAGTTAAGGTTACCTTCCAGAGAGAGATGCACATGCTATTCTTGGGATACACAAAGACTAGCCATTGATATCAAAGGTTATACGGTGCACACAATGGAAAAATTGAAATGGGGAAGATCTAGATTGGGAGGTATGGAAGTACCTTTCTCTTTTTCCTTTTTCTTGATGCAATATCTGAAGAACTCTGAAGCCAGGATTGATATATGTCACCAGAAATAATAGTTTGCTCATGATCAATTGCAAGACTTGTGGCCTTTCTTGTTCTTCGTCGAGCTGGCTTTGGCCTTTGTTGATCCTGCCGCTGCTACAATATCATGTCAAGACGTAACATTAGTGCTGACAGTTTTTCTTTACATTATTTTCTAGCTTGGTTGCTTGTGGAGTTTCTACCTCAAAAGCTTCTTTAACTTCATCAGATTGTTGCTTCACTTGGTCCTCTGGATGTCTGTCAGGGATCTCATCAGCTGCAATAATGTTTCGCTCCATTCAACCAATTTTCAGAAATAATTAATTACCTAAGGAAATCTAAAGACTTTTACAAGCTCAACTCAATCCAAAAGAGTTCTGTGCTTGAAGGAACTTCATATGTAAACCGGAAGTTTAATGGTAAGCAGCCAGGTAGCTACAAAGTATTTTAACTGATCTCATAGTAGGTAAGTACGACTTGCATTCATGTTCCTATTTGAGAGGAAGGGTTTATTGCCATTATGTCTCTATCAGAAAACCAAGTGAAATAATGAAATATCGTAACTCCATCTACTATTTACATCTCAAAAAACTTCATTTATCTAAAGTAGAAGATAGTAACACGTTCTTACGTTGATGGGCTTGTTCTCGAGGTGGAGATTGCACAGGAGTACTTGGGATTTGAGCATCCTCTGGCTGGGTATAATTCATTTGTGTTTCTTCATCCCCTTCAATATCAAACCTGCAGAACAATTCATGCTTAAAAATTAATAGGGGGATAATAGAAGGAAAGCTTTGCAGTTAATTAAAAATGGGGCTAATTAGCCTCCTGTGATTTAATGGTGGATAGTTTGGTTCACGTGAAGTTTTTATGCGAACTGATCGTACAAACTTAGAAATACAGAGCCTACAAACTGTTCATCGTGATACCTCTCAAAATGATTGAACATATCTGTATGATGGGATTCAAAGCGTTCAGCGAGGGTGATATTATCTGGATCAACTGCAACAAGGGTTTCAGGATTGTTTTAGAGATGGGCACAACAAGACAAAACTGGAAAACAAAGTAGCATTGACTAGGATATAGTTATATATTCTATTGTGATGGTGAAAGTAGCATAATCTATGCTGATTGTGGGATCTAGGTGTACCTTGATGCAAGTCCTTAGCAGGTTCCTCCTGTGCATTGGGTTTATCATAGAGATCAGCATTATCTAGTCTCTGCACATTGAACATCCGCAAGTTTAGCTGCACTCTCATGTAGTGATCTGATTTTCACTAAGATTTCCTGCTCTTATCCAAGTGGTATCAGATAAGATTGCCTACTCAACAAGGTCATGAACACTGAGAAAACCCAAGAGTGGAAATAACATAGAACAAGCTACAAAACATATAGAGTAACCAAAAGGCGAAGGGAAATCAAACAACTTTATCATTGTTAACTTTCTATTGTTGAGCTTGCAGACTTGCTGAATAATGAAATATGACTTATTTAACAATCTAAAGCAAGCTCAATAGTTTTAATTAGATCAGTTCGAACAAATTCCTAATTTTCCTAACAATTTTTGTTTCTGCTTTTGAAGTTATTTCGTGGATTGAGGAGGTGACAGAGCTTTCCATAATGTACCATCGTGAAATAGGAGGTTTGTTCGAAATCCATCATTGTGACTGTGTCTGGATTCCGTAATGTCTGTTCAATCTCTGGGAGTTCTTCCTCCCGATTCTCTGGCAGAGTAATAGCTGCATACCTACAGGAATTGAAATGAGGAATGAAAATTCATCAACATTAGGAAAAACAATCACAGGAATCAGAATTTAATGTTTACAACCAATTCATCGCTAAACTAGGTATTTTTAAGTACAAAGACCTTAGGTATAAAGGACTCACAGCATAAGCAGGCCTTAAATAACTCATTGATGAAACTGACCCAAACATTGAGTGAAAGAAATCATAATAAATTGAGTTAATCATTTCAACTAATTGGTGGCAGTCATACTTTAGTTGTTAATTTACTGAAGCACTATTGAGGTAACTGAAAGTATTAGAAGTTGTTAAAAGTCGGCCTTACAATCTCTGCTTCTCGGCAAAATACTGTGACGTCGAATTGGAGATGAGTTACTCACTTGGCTTGCGATTTACCCTTGGGAAGTAACGTAGGATCGGTAGCTGCTTTGACTTTCCAAGCTTCATTGATTTGCACCTGAAAGTACCCAATCATAAATGCGGAATTTAATGAAAACAGAGCAAAGAAAGAGATTAATTTGATTAGGATCGAAGACAAATGTTACTACCATGAGACGAGTCACATCCTCTGCATTAAAGAAAACATAAAGAAAAAAAAATGAAGAAATAAGGAAGGGTAAAGTAGGAGTAGAATTCAAAGAATTAACGTGAAATTCAAATTGAAATGATGAAGTCATCATGGCAATTCATACCGTATAGGAGTTTCACTTTGTGTTCGTAAACAATGACTACTCCACCTGAAACAGAACTGTCGATTAGATATCTAAATCAAAAGCAGCAATTGCGGACAGTCAGTGGTTTTCGAAGCATACCCATGAGAATTCCAGAAAGCCTCAGAGCCATCGGGACTGATGGATTTAAGATTTGTTCACTTGACAAAAGAAATTGCAGAAGACGAATACTCAAAATCAACAAGGAATTAAGGCATTTCAACGTAGTAGTAGAAGAAAACGCCTCACCAGATGTTAATAATATTGAGTTTACTAAGCTTTTTCCTATTGAGTTTTGAGTGCAGAGTGGCCGCCATCCTTCACAGCAAAGAGAAAGATCATAAACAATTTCAATTTAAGCATTCTTCGTAGCCAAATTGAAATATGAGAACTTAACATATACACAAAATCCTATGAAGTAACTTCAACGAATACAGAACATTAGACACAGAAAGCAAATGACGAAAAGAGGATCCACTACAGGGATTGCGATATATGAAAGTTAAAAAACGCAGAAACACAAAACATGCAACTTATCTATATGTATTAAACAAATTTAGAATAGAAAATCAAAACAAAAGCCGTAGTAAACTGGATCAATACCTTCATAAAACAATTTTGAATTCAAGCATTTTCTGAACAGAAACAGATCCAATTTTAACAGTGACAACTTAACATATAACTCATAACTTCAGATTACGAGAAATAGGTTGAAGAAGCTACTGAATATCATTAACCAGCGACCAAAGAAGAACGACAATCTAGCTCAGGATATACAACATATGCAAGTAAAAAATCAGAAACTCCAAAAATGTAGCGTATGCATATGAACATAACGAATTTCGAAAGGAAAAAATTGAAATGACAAGTAGTAATCGACAATTTTCACCATATTTGGCCGAGCGGAGCTTTGCGAGCAAGAAGCTGATGAGAGTAGAACATATTGCCGTCGTGAAGAAGGAAATTTCAGCACTGATTTTGCAGAGTACTTGAAGCTAGAAGGTTTTGTATATATAGTTGGAGAGAGAGAGGGAGATCATATGCAAAGTGAGAAAGGTGAAAGTGTGTGTGTTTTGTGCCTGTGCGTCTGTATATACTGTAGAGTATACCCGCCATAACAGAAGCGATTGCGATTGCATTTTGCAGAGTATATTGTGGGGACCGCACCCTATTGCAGAATGAATGTTTGATGAACTCAAGTCACAGCTCAAGTGAATGGAATTTTTGTGCTATCGTTCCTGAATGGCTTCCACGTGTCCCCTACTATTCTTGTTCAAGAGGCTTAATTTAATGGCCCAATCATCGATAGCCCTTAAAGTTGTCCGCATAATTCATTTAGACACCTCAACTGAGACTCTTATCAATTAGACATTTTAATATTAATAAATATTTACCTATCAAACATAAAATAATAATTATCTTTACAAATATTGTGCGTGTAATGCACACTCCTTATTTTGACAAAAATTACGAATAGAACTACGACACGTGGCATATGGGCCCATAATTTTAATTTTAAAAGATAAAGAATATTTTCCTTCCTTTAATAATATATAAAAAATTAAATTGATAAAAAAAAAATCTTTCTCCCCACCCTAACCCCCACCCCATCTAACTTACTACCCTTTTTT